TCCCCATCCAGCATGTTGTCACTCGATGCCGGGAACACGATGCTGGCTGCCCTTTCCCTGCACATTTGTTTGTGAGTGAGGAACCAGATGAGAACACCGCTAATTCCTCCTCTGGTTGAGCACACAAGTTATGGCAGTCTTGCCCTAAGGGGAACACCCACCTGGATTAGCCTGCAGGCGTTTCTGCCAGTTTCCATTTGGGCATTTCTCTTGGGCACAAGTCAGAGGGCCGGGGAAGGTGCCCCGGAAAAGATTGCCCGGCTTGGTTTTTTTTGTTTTTTTTAAAGTACCCGTTAGGTAAAGGTAAAGGTTCCCTTGCTCGAAAGCCAGTCGAGTCCGACTCTAGGGTTGCGGTGCTCATCTCCGTTTCCAAGCCGAATAGCCAGCGCTGTCCGAAGGCGTTTCCGTGGTCATGTGGTTGGCATGACTAAACACCAAGGCGCACGGAACGCTGTTACCTTCCCACCGAAGTGGTCCCTATTTATCTACTTGCAATTTCTTGCTTTCGAACTGCTAGGTTGGCAGGAGCTGGAACTAGAGACGGGAGCTCACCCCATCATGCGGCACCCGGGTCTCGAACTGCTGAACTACTGACCTTCCACAGCCTGCAGTTCAGCGTCTTAACCCCTTGGTTAACCCGTTAGGTACACTTTTATTATTTTTCATATTATACAAAAACAAACATACATACGACACATCACAAACATCCACTTACAAACATAAAACATACAATGAGATCAGTATATTTTCTTGCAATTCTATTACCATATTTAAAAATTTCTATGGATTTGCTTAAGTTTCTGTATACTCTTATCTTTTTACCATAGTTTCTATTTAACTAAAAGAGATTAATAATACCAAAAATGTCATTACTTTAAACTATGCATTTATGTTGTACCAGTCGTAAAGGAGCTACCCTTTCAGTTGCAAAAACATTACAGCTGCTCTTCCTTGAGCGTTGGCAAACCGCAGGGTGGCGTTTGGAACTGGCAAGAGAAGCTTGCTTTTAGGAGTCGGGATTCTGAAAGCAGAAACTGGGAAGATATGGATGCTAGGGAGCTGGAACGAATCTGTTTGGGCCTCATCCTTGGAGATCAGTTTTGAGGAATAGAAAGCAAACCGCCCCAACCCCAAAAACGCACACACATTTTTGGAAACCTGCAAACCTATAAGGAGGTTAAATCCAGTCTCCCCCCTGTTCTAACAGAATTTGTATGGAAAAAGATTCAAACCTGCAAGCTCAATGCTGGGTAGAATAAGGGACACTTAATAAGGGGGGGAGGCAGATACTGTTTGGGGCTCACCTTCCCCCCCATCTCCAGAACACAGCCCACACCCACAAGGGAAAGAAGCAGCGAGCTAAACAATCCAGGTGGGGTTGCCACTCTCCAGGTGGGGCCTGGAGAGCACTTGGAATCACCCCTGATTTCCACTCAACAGATATCAACTCCCTTGGAGAAAATTGCTTCTTTGGAAGGTAAACTCTCCAGCCTTACAGCCCTCCCCAGCCTCCACCCCCAAATCTCCAGAGATTTCTCAACCCTGGAGGTGGAAACCCCAGATCCAGGTCTGGTCAGCATTTTTTTTTTTTGAGGGGGGGGGGGAGAAACACGCAGATCTGCCATCAGAAGGAGCTTGTACCTAAATAAGCCTCCGTCTTAAAGGTCCCACTGGAGCGATTTCCCACAAGCTGCTGCTTTGCACTCCCTCTTCCCTTAGCCCAGATCGTGTCAATTTCACACCATGTGCTGGCTGGGCTGTCCATTTTGCTTCCTGGCTCTGCTGGGGGTGGGGGTGGGGAGGGCTTTCCAGGGCCCCGTGAGACTGGGACTCTTTGCATTCCCCTGTTGGATTTTTTTAGAGGCTTGAGTTTTAAAAGGATTCCCCCCCCCCTGTTCTCTCTGCCAAGCTGCTGGGTCCTAAAGAGAGTCAGCTCATCGCAAACACAGAGATGCCGGCTCTTATTGGTAAGGCGATTGATGGGGGTGAGCCAAGAGCTTCTTCCAGACCTTCCCTTCTCCCCACATCCACCGCAGACAGCAGCTCAAAGAGACCTTTGGAAAGAACCTGGGAGTGCCCCGCTGCTCCAGGCGAGGAAGACACAGTTGGCAGCATAATAGCGGCCATTCAGCTAGGGGTTCAACAGGCCAAGTTCTGCCCACGGAAGGGCAGCCCATCTCCGGAGAGAGGAAAAAGACTTCTCTGCTGGAGATCGCCCCCCCCCCAGGAAAGGCGAGCGGAGGTGCCAAAGCGGAGCTAAAACGGGGGCGGGAGGGGGGCTTGCCGCCCGATCCCTTCCCACTCGTCCAGAGGCGTTTCATATTTAATCTAAACCTTGTACAAGTTCAGTCCCACTGAACTAGGTGGGACTCGGTCACCCGGAATTTGCCCTTAAACTTTTATAGCCCCCCTCCCCCAGGAGTCAAGCCGATCGGAAACCGAGACGAATCCTGTAGGAACCCCCCACCCACTCCCCCTCAAGAGAGACTGAAAAGGCACAGGGAGCCCCCCCCAACACCACACAACCCGGCAGCCTGGACCCAGGAGCTGGCGCTTTGGCGGCAGGGCTGCAGCAGAGTCTCCACTGGTCTTTCCAGGGCCATCAATCCCCCTGGCCCCCGTATTAGGCGGCCCTGCCGAGGTCCCCGCAGGAGCACAGAAAGGATGCTCCGAGCCGCCCGCCTCTGTGACCATCGGGCTGCCTGGGCTCCCCCCCCACCTGGATCCGTGCCTCAGGCAGGCCGGTCTCAGCCGCCAGCTGCTCCCGCGCCGAGATGCATGTCGGGATAGGAGTCACGGAAGGCCTCCTCCAGCCGCGCCAGCTGAGCAGGGGAGAACTGCGTCCTCTTGCGGCGTCCCGCAAGGCATGGCCGGCGATTGGGGGCGCGGCTTGGCCCAAGGTCGGCATCAGACCTGCGGCACCTCACGAGTCCCCTGGCGGAGGGCCGCCGGCCGAGTCTGGGAGAGAAAGGGCGGGTTAGCCCAGGGAGTGAAGGGGCTGGAGGGAGGGAGGGGCCCCGCAAAAACGGTGGGGGGGCCAGGCCCCATGGGCCCCACGTTAGCTACGGGCCTGTATTTAGTACATTTTTATCCTGAAGGAAGTTGGCATGGTCTAGCCTGATCTCATCTGTTCTCGGAAGTTAAGCAGGGTAGGTACTTGGATGGGAGATCACCAAAGAAGGTTCTGCAGAGGGAGACAATGGCAAACCACCTCTGCTTCTCACCTGAAGGCCCCTTGTTGGCGTCACTATGGTTCGGTAGTGACTTGACAGTACTTACCTACCTACATGTTTATCCCACCTTCCCCCAAGGAACTTGCGGCAGTGCACTTCATTCTCCCCTTCTCCATTTTATTCTCACAGCCACCCAGTAAAGTAGTGAGGGTGAGAGTGAGTGACTGGCCCAAGGCCACCCGGCAAGCTTCCATGGTTGAGCAGAGATTTGAACCTGGGTTTTCCAAATCCTACTCCAACACCATAAGTAACACTACTCCACACTAGCTCCAGAAGTCCAGAGCATGTATTAACCATTTCCATAGGTTTCCTAGTTTTCCACAAGACAAACAGCCTAGGGAAGGGACAGTGGCTCTGTTATAGAACACATGTGTTTCATGCAGAAGATCTCCATTTATTGCATACCAAACATCTCAGCTTGACAGTGTGAGGGAGGAGGAGAAAGAAATGATACACCACGTCCCTGAATTTGTCATGATTTGGGCCCTATTTTTGGTGCCTACATATGAGATGGAATCCTTTCCAAAAATTGGCTTTGATTCTGGGTGGTAAACTTGCTTCATAAGACCATTGCATGCAGTAACATGACTGCAGCATAATTTATTACACCTGTTCCCCTCCTCCAAGTGGTGATATTAATTGCAGGCAGACAATGCAGATGTTTGTGGATGGTTTTTCATAACTGTCAAATGAATTAAAAAGATACAAAAGGGGTCACGAAATCCTTGATAGTTTCATTAATTTGGATGGTCTAATTGTTTGTTTGTTTTTTAAAGATGTGTGGAGGCAGCCAAGGATGTGGAAGGACCAGAGCAATTTACCAGCTGAGTTCTTAGATAATTTTTTTTTCTGTGTTGTAATAGAGTAATCCATGCTTTCTGGCACTGTTTCTTCTTTCTGCTGTTTGGCTTAGAGAAACAAAATGGCTCTCTCTGGCCCTTTCCACACTACACCTTTAATCCTGGTTCAACGCTGTCTCCTACTAGTCATTCTGCACTACACTCGAATTCACCACTCTTTTTATCCTGGTTAGTTGGTTTTTTTGGTCAATTCTGCATTACATTGTGGCCATCCCAGGTTTGGACCACCGTTGCCACAGGATATATGGATTCTGTTTTGCCACAGGCTTTCCCTCAATCTGGGGTGGCCCCAGTGCAGATTGAGTGTAGAATTTTTTACTCGGTTTTGATCCTCCTCACCCTTTTCCTGCCATAACTGGGACAAACCCCCTGTTTGCAATGCAGAATTTATAACCTGGGGAAGGCAAGGAAATTGGAGCAGGACAAAATTAGCACAGAAAACATCAGATAAACAGAGATAACTGAAAAGTAAATGGCCGCAAGTTGAACACAGAGAAAAATTGGGGTGAGGTCCAAGTCTGTCATGCAAGCACATGGATACTTACTTTGTTTCTCCTTTCTTTCTTCTTTTTAAGTTACTCGGTACTCTTAGCTACACCAGTGAAGTCTTCAGAACCACCTAGATCCATTCTTGTAGATCCCATGGATACTTTGGGAATTTTGAGAATGGTGGTTGGGGGCAATGAGAAACAAAATGGCTGCCATGGTGTGCAGGGGCCAGTCACAAAGTGTTGGGAATTTGAAAGTCAAGCATCCTCTGATGATGAAGGCAGCTATTTCTGAATGGGCCCTCCCTGCAGACAAAAAGGTGATTCTTCCAGGATTCTTCAGAAGCACGTGATGTGGAAGAAGGTCAATATGTTCTAGGGAAGAATAGTGGGCACCAAAATGGACATTAACAGGCACCATGGCACGCCATGGGTACCATACACGGGAAACACACTGGAAACTGCCATATACTGAATCAGACCATCAACCCATCAAGGCCACAATTGTATACTCAGGCTGGCAGCAGCTCCTCGGGGTCTCAAGGAGATGTCTTTCACATCATCTGCTGCCTGGTCCTTTTAACTGGGATTGAACCTGGGACCTTCTGCATGCCAAGCAGAGGGTCTTCCCATATTAGGAATCACTGACCTAGACTTTGTTGTTGTTGTTGTTCAGTCGCACAGTCGAGTCCGACTCTTCGCGACCCCATGGACAATCTCCCGCCAGGCTCTCCTGTCTTCCGCCGTCCTCCGAAGTTGGCTCAATTTCATGTTCGTTGCATCGCTGACACTGTCTAACCATCTCATCCTTTGCCGTCCCCGTCTTCTTTGACCTTCAATCTTTCCCAGCATCAGGGTCTTTTCCAGTGAGTGCTCCCTTCTCATTTGCTGGCCAAAGTATTTGAGCTTCAGTTTCATTATCTGGCCTTCCAGGGAACAGTCAGGGTTGATTTCTTTGAGGATTGACTGATTTGTTCTTCTTGCAGTCCAAGGGACTCTCAAGAGTCTCCTCCAGCACCATAGTTCAAAAGAATCTATTCTTCGGCGCTCGGCCTTCCTTATAGTCCAACTCTCACAGCCATACATGACTACTGGGAATACCATTGCTTTGACCATGCGGACTTTTGTTGGCAGGGTGATGTCTCTACTTTTTATCATGCTGTTTAGGTTCGCCATCGCTTTCCTCCCAAGGAGCAGGCGTCTTTTAATTTCATGGCTGCAGTCACAGTCTGCGGTGATCTGGGATCCCAGGAACGTGAAGTCTGTCACTACTTCCACGACTTCCCCTTCTATTTGCCAAGGAGTGATGGGGCCGGATGCCATGATCTTAGTTTTTTTGATGTTGAGCTTCAAGCCCACTTTTGCGCTCTCCTCTTTTACCCTGAGCAAGAGGCTCTTTAGGTCCTCTTCACTTTCTGCCATTAGAGTGGTATCGTCTGCATATCTGAGGTTGTTGATCTTTTCCCCAGCAATCTTAATTCCCGCTTGTGATTCATCCAGGCCAGGAATCCAACTCTAGGGATGCGGTGCTCATCTCTGTCTCCAAGCCGAAGAGCCAGCGCTGTCCGAAGACGTTTCCATGGTCATGTGGCCGGCATGACACCAAGGCGCAGAGGTTGCAGGGTACTAAAATCCCTTCTCCTTTCCCCATGTGGCCCCCACTGCATACTGAGGCCGCATGAACCTACCAATTTTATTTTTCCGACAGGCAGAAATCAGTCTCTGTTTTGCCCTTCAATGTCAGGCTGTGGGCATCTAGGTTTGCTTTATTTATTTTATTTGTATTAGGTTTATATCCCGCCCTCCCCACATTGTAGGCTCAGGGCAGGTTCCAACACATACAGCTCTGCAGTTAATACAGGCTTACAATGAAAACATCTTGCAACAGTCCATTAAAATCAACAAAATCGCCAGCACATTGAAACATCAGCGTGCCTCAACAGATAATATTGTGGTTCCAGTCGGCTTCTCGGATCTGCAGTGACTGGAGGAGAGGCCAGAATAAAGTGGATGCCTGCTGCATCACCTAAAGGCCCGGCGAAAGAGCTCCATCTTGCACGCCCTGTGGAAATGTAACAGGTCCTGCAAGGTCGTGATCTCATAAATTAGCTCAGTCCACCAGGCAGGGGCCAGGGCCAAAAAGTGCGCTGAACCAGGTTTGATTCCCCACTCCTCCACTTGCACCTGCTGGATGACCTTGGGCAAGCCATAGTTCTGGCACAGCTGTTCTTGAAAAAGAGCCGTTTCTGTCAGAGCTCTCTCAGCCCCACCTGTCTCTCAGGGTGTCTGTTGTGGCCCTGGCCCTAGTCGAGGCAAATCAGACATCCTTAAGGCCAGGGACTACCAGGGGGTGCAGGTTCGTAGAGCACAATGTTCAACGGGGCTCATATGGGGAGAGGGGATATGCAGGCCCCCGGCCGTGTAGGTCTTTAAAGGTAAGCACCAACACCTTGAAACGGATCCGGGTTGCCGTTGTGAAGCATGACGTGGACATGGAAGTGTAGACACTGATAAATTTAAAAACCTGGCATCTGCCTAGGATCCACTAGAAGCTCAGCAGCATACTTGAGTCTGAACATTTACTGAGATCAGCGTCCTATCTGAATGTATTCTCTTTCATGACTTGTTGAAAAGCCCTTTACGAACAAGAGAACTTTCGTACTACTCTAACATTTCCTGAGGAAGATCCAGTTTTGAAACGTTGTTATATAATCCGGAGACGACGTTGATGATGTACCTTTGCACTAGGATTTTCTCATGATTTGTAGGCACTGATTTATTGTGTTGTAGTGCTTCGGACTGTGATACATAGTCTTTTATTTGCAAGTCTTGTTGACTGCTTGATTTGTGGGTCAGACACTCACGACCAGTGTTCCCTCTAAGCTGAGTTAGTGTGAGCTAGCTCACAGTTTTTTACCCTCCAGCTCACACACTTTTGTCTTAGCTCAGGAAGGATGGCTCCAGAGCAAACTAATTTATGCAGTAGCCAAATAGCTTGATCACAAATTTTTTAATGCCAGTAGCTCATAAAGCAGGATTTTTGCTCACAAGGCTCCACAGCTTAGAGGGAGCGTTGCTCACGACTGTTTTTTTTACACTTGTTTTCTATCCAATGAAATCGGACTTTTGACGAGGCACCAGTATGGTTCTAGAAAACAACAACAACAAAAGAGTCCCCTGGTTTTGAACCGTTGCCTTCCACAAAAGCTGTCCGGGCACGTTACCGCCTGGTGTGGCTTATTGATGGGATGCGTGGGGGCGGCGGCGCTAGACCGTATGCTAGTTCAGAAGACCATATTTGAACTTGGGCCAATCCAAACGTCTCTTCTTTTCCTCTCCAGGCTGACTGGGAATGAACCTCTGACCATCCTCCCTCTGACCTCAGAAATGGAGGAAGCTGCCGTCAAAGCCCATTACAAAGTCTGTGACCGCCTGAAGCTGGAGAAGAAGCAGAGGAGGATGTGCAGGAGAGACCCGGGGGTGGCGGAGACCCTCATGGAGGCCATCAGCATGAGTGCCCTGGAGTGCCAGTACCAGTTCCGCTTTGAGAGGTGGAACTGCACCCTTGAAGGTCGCTATCGAGCCAGCCTGCTCAAGAGAGGTGAGCTGGGAGGGGGGACCCAAATGGTGGGGGGAGGGGGAAAGCTTGGCATTGCCTCTGGAACTGGCCTGTAGCTACAGTGGGGCGATTGGGGGCTCCGCCCCCTTCCTTAAAGGGCCAGCCCCACAAGATTTCCTTCTGAAAACGGTAAGGGATTTCATTGCTTTAGGTAGGGGGAAGGGTGGGGGTGTTTTTGCATTTCATGTATGTCTGAGGTGGCTGTTGTGGGGGGTGTTTTGTGCCCAGTGGTTAAGATGCTGAACTGCAGACCGGAAGATCAGTAGGTCAGCAGTTTGAGACCCGAGTGCCGCATGATGGAGTGAGCTCCCGTCTCTGGCCCCAGCTCCTG